AAAAAAAATCTAAATATTGAGAAAATCGCCTTTAAAGTTGTCCAAATTAAGTTCTTAGCACTATATAGGCTATTACTTGAAGTTTTGGAAATGTACAAAATATCTTCATGGAACATGATCTTTACTTAATTTCCGTATGATTTTTGGCGTAAAAGAAAAATCTATAATTTTGACCCACAGTGTATTTTTGGTTATTGCTATAAATATACCCGTGCTATTCATGACTGGTTTTGTGGTCCCGGGTCACATTTGTGGTGGAAACTGAAATGCGTTGGCTTAATGAGCTCTGGTTGGGTTATCTATAAAGCATGGTCCTCGTACGATGAGGGCTCTTCGTCAGAGCGCACGGAGATTTTAAAATGGCGCCGTAAAAACCCGCCATATCGCTTTTGGTTGTCCCACCTCAACTTCGGGCGAATTCTTCGCATAAACCCGCCGTATCTCTTCTGCAACACCTGCGGGCTGGTGTTATCCACAAAGTTGCTTCTTTTTGGCCCGAATTTGCGGAGAAACCCGCCGTAGCGTTTGACTTCGTTTAAAGGAACGTCGTTATCGTAAACTCCCGTTTCGTTTTCCGCAGTCGCATCTTCGCCCTCGTCGTCTTCCGTGATCGACGGGACGTCTCGCTCGCCCAGTTTCGAGAGCGATTCTCCGTATTTCTTCGCGAACAATCCTTTTAGAATGGCGTTCTCCTTCCAGGGTGAGGCGAAAAACTTCTTTTTATTCTTGTCGATCCTCTTGATGAAGCCCCCGTATCGTTTGACCAGGTTGGATGCCTTCTCTTGGAGATCCCCCGCGTTTAACGCGCTGCGTTCTGCGTCGGGGTTGAGCTCCGCGAATTCATCTGAAAGCTCCTGTAAAGCTTTCTCACATCTGTCTAATGTACTAGTAGACGGAACGGATCCTTCACATTCTAAAGTGCAAGTCTGCAGAAAGAAAAGTAGGTTAAGATTGACTCTGCACTCTTGGAAATAAAAGTTTCAGGATGTTACATTCCGATACCGCCGACGTTCCTCAAAGAACGTTTTATTTCTAGTAAAGGCATCACATGTAGAGAACTTGGTAACCACGTTCTGCAGAGCCTAAACTTGGAAGACATGGTGCTTTTTAATCTCAAAAGAATCATATAGTAACTCGAGAACTCCATACAGCCAAAATAGTTATTGATTAGAAGATGGTTGTTTGAAGAACCGTTTATCTTTTTCTTCTTTTTTTTTTTAAAGTTTGCTCTTAATAAACATTCAGATTAGAACCAATTCGAGGGTTTTCAAGGTCTACAAGTAGCATTTTATCTATAAAAACATCTAAATCTGTTGTTTGTTTGTTTTTTTTAATCGAAACGTTTAATGCCGAATCCGCAATTTGTAATTTTACAGCGGAAAGCATGTCTAATATGTATTTTTTTTTTCAGTATAGGTTTCTCCAATATGATCATCTAAACGAGCGCTCTCCATGGTGCTGAATGCGCCCAGTTTTTTGTTAATGACAAGGATGCGACCACTTCTCAAGTTTAAAATCGTTCTATTACAGAGAGACCTTTCTATTTTTCATTTATAATGGCTTGATTTGTATTCAGTTGAGTTTGAAGTCATTGTCTCTCCGTTCACGTAATTTACATTACGCTACCATTCATGCTTAATTTGTTCAGTTGAATTAATGCTGTATAGGATACTAATTGCTTCTGATTAGATGCTAACTTTATTTCATTGTGCATGGTACAAAGTGCAAAGCCAATAACAATAAAGTTTAATTTATTTCTGTCGGTTGTGCCATTTTCATCTCCTTCTCATTCATCACATTTATGGCCAAATTAAGCGCATGCAAACAAAATCTGGATATAACTGTTTGAAAATAAGGAGTAATCTTACCAAGCGGGTTGCTGCAGAGTCCAGGTCGGAGATCTGTTGCGCGCATCTCAGACATTGCGCTGAACAAGCTGCCTGACTCAAGGTTGGCAAGCTCAGCATCAACACCAAAACATACCACTCCATCATCTACAACGATTCCTGCGGTATGAGAGAAGAAAACAGGCTTTAAGTGCACTATCTTCCTCATATAATCTTCTCTGCTGGGAGGTGTTTGAGGTTTTTCAACAATTCAGTTATAATGTTTGAGATCTTTGTTTTTCTATGTAGCCTATGTCTTTGTCTTACCAGTTTAATATCCAAAACCTTTAGTCTACAGTGAGGCTCGTGTGCCAACACAAAATCTCCTCTGTTACCTTGAGTACCTAGAGCTTCTTGTTCTCCAAGCGTCAAGACGATCACTTGGCCACGCTGGCTGAAACTTCTTTGTTCTCGTGTCCTTTGATAGAGTCACTCTTTATCCATCTACGGTTTGCTCTTACTTGGACTCAGGCTCCATACTTTTATTCACGCAGCCCACACAACCACCTGAATGAACCAATGAGAACGACGAACCAGTTGATTGACTCGTCCCACCCACGCGATGATGCAGCGTTTCGGGAATAATAACATAAACAATAACGAAATGAGCTGGCCTATTACTAACGCAAAAGGGTTAAGCATGGTTTAAAAAAAAAAACATTATATGGATAGGCTTCAAGGTTTAGTATAAGAAGTTAGTTATAATTATTCACTTCACAAAGGTAGAATAGCCTTCCATTAAATTAAAACCACCCACTTTGAAGAGGAGGACGAGCCAGCTAGGGGTAACTTGTACTACTGAGTTGCAGTGTTAGCTCAAGTGGTGTTTAAATGACAGAAGCGTGTTAAAGCAGGAGATTTTTACTTTAATTTTTAATTTCATAAAACATATGACACACCTAAGGCTAAAATCTGTACCAAAAAAAAAATAAAACACCAATGGAGTCTCAGTTTTGGGTGGTTCAAGCTAAATTAATTTGTGAATATTCTGTGTTCAAACCTACAAAGTTTTAGTTACCCGCTCAGATCTTAACACCTCACCCCCATCTCATCACCTCTGTAAGAACTGGAGCTATGTGATGTGATGTGTTGACTTGTAGTACAGTGAGAGACGCGCTGTCAGTGATCTCCAATGAATAAATGTCAGTTTCTAAGCAACCTCACCTAACGGTAATGTGT